AGAGGTGCACACAAACACACAGATTTAGCCCAGTGCTACAAAGCATCACAAGCAGCAGCCTGCTCATTGGTAAGACTGTTAACAGTAATGTCACCCATACCAGCACCGCCATAGGTGAAGTTCAGTCTTACTCCAGTAGGACTGTTAAAATCTTTATTTGGTTTATCTATTAATGTCAGTACTTTCGGCCTGTTATGCAATCTACTTTCAGCATCTCCTGTTTGCATGCTTGCTGGAAGACTTGACGGATGAAGTAAAAGATGGTAAAGAGAAAGGAGTGGGAGGAAATTGAACAAGAAATAGCGGCAATCTTGCCATCGGAAAACATGCCAACTGGATCCTTTGGCAGCTCTGGACTCTCATCCACAGCTACCATAGAGACAAGAAACTGAAGTTCAAATCTGTGCAAACGATTGCCTTAGATCTCTCAACATCTCAAATTATCATTGTGACAATATTATCCCCCCAGAAAAGTAATGAGCTTGACAAAAAGCAAACAGTAAAGTAAAGACCGACAGGATGCAACAAGGCCGTTCCAGGAACGGGAAACCAAACCGACCATGAAACCTTTCTGGGGACCAGATGAGGGACTCAATAGCTAATGAAAGCAACCTGTGAACACTGGCTGTTAGTGGGGTGGTGGGTTAAACGTTAGTGAAGCTCAGCAGGATGTTTTAACTGCAGTGTAAGTGTACAGAGACTGATCATGAAATATGTGGAAAGGTTGTGATGAGTGACAGGAGCACAGCTTGTAAAGCATCATGAGATCCTGGCCTGATGCCTAATTTTTGTGCACTTGCACGTTACCCAAGTTATAGTGAAACCAATCAGGAAACAGGAGTAAAATTTATGATCCTCAAGCTGAAAATAAAAAAATATATACACCGTGTTTGTCTGTGACTGCTGTATTGGTATCATGGCCATAACTATCCTTATTAGCACAATGAATACAGTTTTTTGCTTAATGGCATTATGAAAATCAAGTACTTCCCTTGTAAGTTACATTCATTCAGTCACAGTGGGCTTTCAACTCTGGTTTTAGTGTCACAGGAATGTTTGGAGGACAATTCTACCGTTTTTGCCAACCAAGATGAGCCTAGCAACCAGGGAAGTATACAATCACAACTGCAAAATGTAATAAGAATAACCACTCCAAGGCTATGCTAGCTCACTGCTGTTTGGATGGTTAGGTGGTACTTGTCTCTGTGCATTAATATAAATGTAATTGAAATAAAATTTAGTCAAACTCTGAGCTCAGCACATAAATGTTGTGCATGTTCCACTGAGAACAACAGCTGTGATCGCAGACTAGCTCTATATTAGTACAGATCCTCTGCATTCGCATTTTGCTTCTTCAGCAGTTGTTACATGTGCCTTAGGCCAGATGCCTTGTCAGAGTTGATGTCAAGATGAGTGCTAGAACATTAACAAGTAAAGGTGGAGTGCAGCACAAAAAAACACATTTTTGTCTCAAGTGTAAAAAAACACTGTTTTAATTTCAACATGGCTGCATGTAGGCCGTAAACACCGGTAACCACTCCAAACATCTCACGGACAGGTCTCTGCAGGGCTAACAGCAGCAACAGGTGGAAGCAGCAGCACATCAGTGGAACACACCATTGGCAAAACCTAAACCAATTAAAGCAGCACATTCATAGCTGTCAATCTAGATTCAGTTCAGTTTTGCTCCTGCCGTTTCTGGAAACATCTACTGGCAGGGGGAACTTGGGGGGAGAGCTGACCGAGTCAGCAGAGAGGAAAGAAAACACCCAAACGCAGCCAACAGGGGATAACATAGAAAGGATCAATGAGAAATGAAAGTCAGAAACAAAAGTCTGAAAGTTTAAAAAAAAGACCACTTACATTCCTTCAACTGTTTCAGTTCTAAAAAACAAAACCACATACAACCAAACATACACACACACACAGACACACACAGCATGCAATTATGAGATCATGCACTAAGACAAACAAACAAAACCAACCAAACAAATTGCAATCTTTTAGACATGTGCCATGTCTCAAACTACTTTTTCAATGCAAATGGAAAAAAGAAAGCTTGGAAAAATTAACAGTGTCACCTTTGTTAGCTGGGTGTCACATACAGCCGAGTCGGTCAAATGTTTAGCTGTGTGTTAGCATTAGCGGTGTGAGACCTCTATTCAGCTGTAGAGCTACAAATTTAGCTTAGTGAGTTAGCCACTTGCTTGTGTCTACATGGATTAGGAAGCAGCATGGTGTTTTGAAATAACATGTAGGAAAATCAGTGGCTTGATTTTATGTAAAGTAGTACAGTGAGAAGCTATGACAGAAGCACAATCACTGGGTGTTAAAAAAACAGAGGACACGTGGTCAAAGAATGAAATATCTAACTCCTCCAGCTCTGCTTTTTCCAGCTTCCTGAAACCTAAATACATGAATAAATTAGGATGTGACAACACAGCCATCTGCGAGCACTTTCTACAGGCCAAATGTCAATAATATTGCTTTCGCTAACGTATCCCACTCACTCTAACACATTCAACTGGGATGTGATCAATTTCAGCCCAACAAAACCCATCTGCATCTATATACATCAACACTGACTCCATTCTACATAAAATATATCTAAAAATCTGTGTTCTGTGCACTTTCACATGCACCAGGTTGTGGTTTCGCTAGTTTTTAAATACAGAGCTAAACTTTATAATATTTAACTGCATTCATTTGAGTCTGAAAATGGAATCAAATCTTCAGACTGGTTCTGTCGATATTTCTGACAGCAGAGAAAATAAATAGCAATATCTGCAAAGATTTTGTAGCATCTGAAGAACTACAAACTGTCAAACGTTAATAGGCTGGTAAATAGGCTTAATAAACTAAGGACTGATGCAGAAAACCAGAAAATCCTGCTCTATCCCACACAACCTACCAGCATTTTCAAGTAAAAATAACCACAGATAGTTAGTGGTGAATAACTGAATGTGCACTTTGTCCAAGACTTACTTGGTGGACAGTTGTCCTTTAGCCCTGTTATTGTCAACTCCGTTGTATGTGACAGCGGCCAGCTTCCTGCTGCGGTAGTTTTCATAGTGGACGTTGTTTGTCACGTCCTTCAGATCCTGCATGTGAGTTCTGGGGAAGGATGACAAACAATACAAAATGTTTAAAATGCTTCAAGCTCTTTCAGCTACAGCTAAGTAATATTCATTTATCTGTTTATACAAAAAAGATCTTAATACTGTCACCGCTCTACTCAGGAGCTACTTAAACACTCTTTACAGGAGGGGTTTTTCCATTATAGGAATCTACTGAAACCTATGTGTAGAGTAACACTCGTCATGGGTTCTGTGTTTGTTTCCACTACATTCGGCCTGCTTTGGAGGTGCATTCTGGGGGATAAATTTCGGCACCCCTCAGGATGTAGTGCTAAAATCAAGTACCAGGAATGCGAGAGGGAAAGGGGATGTGTGCGCACAGAGCAGTCGCTGATGAATGGTTAAATGTCTGCATCTTCACACCTCAATCATTAGCATTACAAGCACCGTGTGTAACACACAGCTGACTGCAGCCCATCCATCATCTATACAGAGACCAAGGGAGAGAAGATATAGTGGAAAAACAAAGGACAGTCAGTGTCAACCCCGGAGGCTGTGCTTGGTGATGGTTAAGGGAAGTACGGGGTATACTGCTTGTTAGTGGAAACACAGCGTAAGTGTACTAGATACAGCTTCACCATCGTTGAATTTTGCAGTACCTGATGAGCATATCCCTGAGGATGGTGAAGTCACAGTGGTCACTGTTTTCAACTGCAATTGACAAAAACAAGACATCAGTCAGAAAAAAACATCGGAACAAAAATCATGTAACCTTAATTTGAAAAGAAAAAAAAAATATAAGTCTCATCTTGGGTCTGATGCACTAAACAATGTACAACAAAATTAACGTGCAGACCGTTTTCAGGAATTCTGTCATCACAATGCAGAAAAATATAATTTCTTACCTTCTGCAACCCCCCAGGGGTATTGTCTCCCTCTGACCCTTTTGCCATTCACCTCGATGATGGTGTTGCTACCTACTACAGCCAGCGGCAGCTTGTCCTAGCAAAACAAAAATACAATATATGAGCATGGTTAATACAAGTGTTTTAGCCATCATTTGAAGTGTGGACATGGCAGGTGGCATAAAGTACCTTGATCTTCTTCACCAGCCTGTTCTCCTCTTCGTCATCTGTCTCAGGAAACTCGTAGATCTTGATTTTGTGCTCTTGGATTTCACGCATGATCTAGCAGGAAAGGAGAAGATCTTTCAGCAACTTCTTACAGAGCTGCTATCTGGAGATGGCTGCACACAGCAGGGGGGTGGTTTAGCCTAACACTAAGTCAGAGTAAGTCACCTAAAACCTTTACTGTCCAATGTAAATAGTTTTAAATTTCAATTTCATTACGTTTTCAGTTGTTACAGCATTGTTATATAAACTAGTATATGGATGGATGGATAAAAAAATGAAAAATTTCCATGGCTGGGGACACGCTTCACTTTTAGTCACTGAGAAACATCAGCATAAATTCATTACTTTGGAAATGTGATAGTCGAGCCTACACACTAAGCATTGTTGTAGTTTAAAGACATAAGGTTACACCATATGTACCAAGCTGTCATCGCAGATGTCTTTTTGTCTTTGTCAACAATGTTAAAATGTTAAAACTGAGGGTTCTACCTGATATTTTCCTAAATTAAATTAAATTATTTCACACTCAAACTCAGTATGACTAGTTGAAATGAATACTGACGTGAACCAACAATGTCTGTAATAAAGCACACCACATTTCACAAAAGCACATAGCAAAATTCTAACAGGGGCAACTTATCAATATTTTCTATACTTACATACAGGTATATTTTATAAAAACACCACTCACACACTTCTGCACAGTATATGATGACAAGTAGGTCACCACTGTACAAACAAGGGCACCACAGAAGAGAATGTTCTTTACTTGGCTTTGCTTCAAGATGCACAGCATCTGTGTCATACTGATGATCACAGTAGAAACACAGCCTCTGAGACTTTCTGCAGAAGTGTCCATCTGTGGAAACTACTGACCTGCTTCTTGAACTGCTGGCATTCCTCTGGGGTGAGGGTGTCTGCTTTAGCGATCAGCGGGATGACATTGACTTTCTCATGCAACCGCTTCATGAACTCAATGTCCAGGGGCTTTAGTCTGCAAGGAGATAAAGACACAGCTTTACATGTAGGTCAACTGTATGACTCAATACAGAGTTTTTCAGTACCTAACACTTAGTGCAAATATCTTAAATGAACCAGTCTGTTGTACTCTGAGTGTGACTGGCTTTGGGATTGACATTTGATTGCCGTTTCCTGGTTAGCTCTATGACAACACAAGGATCAACCAAATATAGAAAAACATCTGTGTCGTCTGACTGATGTTTGTAATGTCTAAGAAAATGACCTTGAAGTCCTGAGAAAGATTTGCTATTCTTGGCCGTTTCTGAGCTGAATAAATGTCTGACATTACCAAATTGAGTTCTAACTTCATTTCACTTTGTATTTTGTTATAAAATATAACCTTAGCTTCATCTGATTTTCTTATGGCACCGCAGAAATATCCCTCAGAGCTGAAACCTGATCTAAAGCAGAATGTGATGTTTTTATGGTTAGAGTGGGAGGCATGTTTGTCATGGCCCCAGCAGCTGTGCAGGTCAATACAGATAGCACAGTGCTCACATTTATAACAAACGCAGCAACAAATAATGAAAGCTGGTTGATGTAGTCATTTTCATATCCATATGCCTTTTGTTGTAGTACATACCAGAACATATCGATACTGTAAATGTGAGTAGACTGACTAGTCATAACAGTTCAGTGCTAAATGTTGGCATATCAATATTTTACAGCTGTATTGTATTGGCAACATCTGAGTCAACAGTACATTAATAAATTGTGTATGCATTGCAATAAACAAGCCATGAACATCGAGGGTTTTACCAACTGTTTTACTGAGAACAAAGCAATATCAAACTCAAACAAGCACATTTCACCAAAATGTCCTACAAACACTAACATATTTTGAGAAAGAACAAATAATCCAGTCAAAACAGAGTCAGTGAGTGAAAGAATTAATAAAGATCTTTAATGTCCTGTATCAGTCTATTGCAGATTTGTAATGCTGGCTCTCTGCCACTTTATTTTTGTTCCTTATTTACAGACTTTTCTATTGAAGAGGTACAAAAACACCACTGGTAAAAATTTCAGTGAGTGACTTCTCTCTTGCTTTATTAAGTGCATTGACACACTATGTGGTTTTACACACAAAATAAACTCACTGACTGGTACTCATAACTTGGTTTAACCACAGTTTGGGGAAGGCCATGTTTTATGATTTGACAGAGATTGCTGTGGGTAATTATGAGTCAAACCTTTAAGAAAACCAGAGCTCAGCTGGAGGCTCAGTGGCCAGATTACTGTCTCTCAGTGTTGGAGGTCATTGTGTTGTTGTGTGAAAGCAGTCAGCTGCTGTTGGGAGGGCACAATCTGTATGTGTTTGTGAGAACATATGCTGCCCATCCTCAGGGCTAGAGTACAGTTTGTGTGGGTACAGAGGCTTGTACAAACACAATGCCTCATTGAGGATGGACAGACTGAAGAAGAAAACACAAGAAGGAAGGACAAAGGCTTCTTCGCCCTTTACATGTCAACAGCATCAAGGGCGTGTGAGCACTCAGTGTAAATTTGCATATTCACATACCAGTTCCACATAGCAAACACAACACTATCCAGGCCTACATTGGCGACCAGCAACATCCCCTTTGTAAATTTTAAAAGGTCAAGAGCCTTGAGCAGGGGCAAGCTCTCATATTAACATAACTGTAAATCCATACATGCTTTTTATTATTACTGACCAAAAACCAAGAACTGCTTTTTCAGGGCCAGAAATAACTGCTCAAAGCTTCTTTTTCCAGCTTTACTAAACCCACGCTTTCTGCTCTTTGACTGAATCACACATGACACGTACACTTCTTAAAAGAAAACCAAGATGAGCACATCTCAGCTGTCAACTAACTATAAAAGATCTGGTGGCTTGTGAATAGTAAATATTACAATTAAATTCCACACAGTCATCTTAATGGAACATTTGGTGATCAGTATCATCTGCTAGGCATTTTGCCAGTGGCTTATTCTTTATGGCTTGCAACCCCCTCCTTATTTTTTTCCTTTTATAAGTCCCAAGTCTTAACCCTTATTTTGCAAGACAAGCCGACTGTCTCATGCTTCCATTTACAGCAACAGCCTGGAGGAGTAGTTGCAGAAAAGGAAGCAAAACAACACACACCCACACATACTACACTCACCCACTCAGGACCCGCCCAGTATGACCACAGCTTCATACTGGTGGCCACTGAGCTGTTCCAGAAGCAGCTGAGGGTTCAGTGCCTGACTGAACCAGCAACCTTCGATTCCTGTCAGTTGCTGGCCCTCGAAGCACTCTTATCGTTTCATTTACCTCCTTACACCATTTTTCTACTGCTTTGCTCCCACAGTTCACCCTTCCAACCTTTTCCTTTCTCGAGTCTTTACTTCCATGCCTTCAACAATGTGTCAATTAATGCACTTACATTAAAGAATTTGATTAGAACTGGGGCCATCAATACTAACTATACAGGTGTTGTAAGATAAAAACATCCACTAAAAAGGTATTTATTGTTTTATGAATTAATCTCCCAGACTCACCCATGTCCAGAGGGGGCAATGAAGTACAGGCAGCAATGGATTCTGCTGTCAGGCATCTGTCTTCTATTCACTCGTGATTCTGAGTTCAGGTAGTCTTCAAACTTGCTGTCTATGTGGTCGATGATTGGCTGCCAGCTGCATAATACAAATTACAGCTTCCATTAAAAAAAGAAAACTATCCCCACAAATACCCAGGAGGACTCCTTGAATTAGGAATGGTGGAGAATGGCTTTGAGAATTTAAGGATGATAAATAAAGGATTTTTATCTCTGCTGAGCCGCAGTTGTAGCAATCCTTACCAGTTGCTGTTGTCAACAGCATCTCCAAACCCTGGGGTGTCCACTATTGTGAGCAGCAGCTGGACACCACCTTCTTTTACTAAAACTTTGGACTGCTCCACCTGACCCAGGACAAAGAATGAAAGACACACTGTGTTTATCTCTGTCACAAACTGCACCTTTGAAACTAAACAGTTTAATTCATAATAAAAAAATAAAAGCACAAAAATGTTATTGCTGTAAGCTATATTTCACATAGAAAACACCTGAAGCTAGCAGCATGTAGCAACATGCCATCACACTCTGTGCTATTACCCAACTATGCTGAGAAACCATAAAAACACACAAGCAACTGGAGATACCAATGCTATCAGTCAGGAGCCAGACAGATAAAGAGCAGCACTCAAGGCCCTGAAGATTCAGGACAACACTGTGTAATTAGACAGATGAAGATCAAGGCTTTTTGGCAGGAGCTGACAGTGAGTCTAACTTGTTTAGACCATGAATTTACTGCATGTCTTCAAAAGTCAATCACGGTGTGTAAAACATCATTTACAAGTTTGCTGTTAACAGAGCTGTATCTAATTCAAGGCAGACAGACACTTTTAACACCAGACCCCATATCCCCTTCTCTATACAATATTCAGATGATGTTTGCTAACATTAAAGCGCAGAACAGGCCACAGCACCAGCCACACTTTCACATAAAACACCAAAAAGATGGTTTGAGCGTCTGCCAGAGTAGTTTGTGGGTTAAAGAATTTCACCAAAAATGGCCTCAGTGCAATAGCATTTCACTGTTGTTTATTTAACTGTGACATTTGGTCTATTTAGTGCTATATCTTAAAAAAAAAAAAATAAAATAAAAAATCTGTGCATCTGTTTTTTGTTTTGTTTTTCATGCTAATAATGCAGGTGTGACTGTTTATAGGCTGCATGAACATCTCTACTCAAAGCTAACATTTGTTTGCCAAAAAATACCTGTACAGTTTTTTTGATTCGATGTGAAGGTCCAGGATATTCTGCTGAATACAGGTCTGTTAAGAACAGAGAGTTGATCAACGTGGATTTGCCCAAACCTGACTCACCTGGAACAAAGAAATAAAGAAGACAAATCAGCATTTCTTGTACAATGTGACTTTTACTCATCATGTTATGACTAGAGCTGGACAATCAACAAAAAAGTGCCTTAATTGGAATTAAACACTGTTACATTATATCCACACAAAGATCACTGTTGAAATCTTACAGACAATCAAAGGGTTTGCGTCTAGCTGGGGATGACATTTGTCCAGGACATTAATCAATGTGTGTTAACAGTTTAAAAGCTAAAGAAACAACACAGACAATGGCTCTTGTTATGTGCAGCTGACTGCCTCAGTGGTTTGGGATGCTTTCTCAAGCTTGATTGGCTATTGTGTGCCCAGTTTCCAAGCTCCCAATGAAAAGGATAATTAGTGGAAATGACCACTGGTGCTGCCTGCTTTGGCTGATGGCCACAAATCAATATTTACCAAGCTACCCTTCACACCAGAGCTGCAGTCAAAGGGTAATATGTGGAGCTCGTACTGTGGCATTTGTCTGTTAATATATTTTATGCGTGGCATGTAACTGTGTTATGTGTATGCGCTTGTTAATTTACTGCAATATGAAATGCTGGCAGGCCTGTGAAGAGAGCTGCTCAGCAATGTGTCGACAGAACAAGTGGACAGACGTGCCAGTCATTGGTGGTAATACCAGTCCCATCTCTCTCCTCTATCTTTCACCCTCCTCTCCTTTTTCACACCACAATGTTGGCACACTGTGTCGCACGGCAGGAACATGTGGGCTCACAGCACATCTGAGCCAAGAAAAGCTGAATATTATGTGTTTGTGTGTCCATAAAAGGTGATACCATGAAAGCAATGGCAAGCATTTAACTACCAACAAGCCCAGAGGACCTTCTCTTGCAAACACACTAAAATCCACAGGCCGGAGGGGACCACTTGGTCATCATCCATCATGCTTTTATGTAGAGAACATGAGTAAGCACAATTTAAGCTCCTTGTTATGAGGATGTTCTAAATAATGTAATAAAAGAGGTGCTCATTAACATGTTTGGAAATTGATTAATAGTACTCTAAAAAAAATCTGGAAAAGAAACTGAGTGGTGCAAATGCAGCGGGAGATGAGCTACTCTCAGAGGCATGCTGTGTACAAATTCTGTAGGCCCCACCACAGGAAATAGTTTTGACCCAAGAAAACATTTTCCCTCCAAACAGGGACAGATCAGCCAAGGAGGATCTTGGCCCTGTGTCAAGCACCACATCCAAGTATTTTACAGAATGTCTGCATTTCTGATACACTGAGTGCAGCTCTAGATAAATCCAACCAAATATTTCTGTTCTGGGAGACAGTGTCAAGGACCTGACATCAAGATGAATTCAAACACCAGCAATGCAGTGGTCGGCCTCCTCTTTGACTCAGCTGTTAAAACTACAAAGCCGGGGGCGTGCCCCTTGTGTATAAATTTGGCTGCGCATACATAATATTTCTCTCAACAAGAAACCACAATGGAGGAGTCTAGAATGCCAACCGCAATGAATACAATGAAATGATTCATGTAAAACAAGGGCAAACAGTGCACTAAGCAGTGTGTGTTGTCTTACCCACAACCATCAGGGTGAATTCAAAGCCCCTCTTGACAGATTTTCTGTACACTTGGTTGGGGAGGCTTGCAAAGCCAACATATCCTTCCAGATTCTTTTGTTGCTGTAGAAAATATAATAAGCAAATAAATAAAATCATTAAAACCATAGTGAAATCTAATATTGTACCACTGCATTACTTACAAAGCTCAAAAGTGTTCATTGCCCTATATCCACACTGCCTAAACTAAAATACACTCCCTATCTCCCAACCACCTGAATCCTAATGTTCCCAATGTTGCTCTCAAATTTCCTGGTAAGGAAAGTCAAAATTACAAAAACATGTTTCTAAAACTGTCTGACTACTCACACAGTTTTTATTTAAGATATGTGACACTTGGATTGCATGAAATATTAAAACCAAAGACATCCCCATTATATCAAATGAACTGATGCATCATCACATACATTGTTATTATAATTAAGCATGACAGTTGGGATAGTGGGCATTCATGACTAAAATTTTATTATGTTCTCCAGAGCTAAACACTGTCTGAACATATTGAACACAGAAATACTGTACTTCCAGATAATATAATTTCTATACTTACAGCTGTTTAGTGTAGATCAGTGTGATGCAGTCCCAACGTGCAGGAAAAGCCACCATTTCCAGTTTTAGAAAGCAAAGAGAGAGAGCACAAAAACAGAGAATCAATCTCAGGCCATCTGACAAACCATTCTGTGACCAGAATCAGTTTCCCAAGCAGGGACAAAATGATTCATGATCTGAGATACTGTAACAACACAGACAGTTAGCCAGTGTGGCACATATTCCACTCCACTTGCTCCTTTAATGTCAGTGGCACCATAAAACAAAACCCATTCACTATTGCAGATTTTTCTTTTCGCCTGTGGCTAGGAGAGGATTTCTGCTTTTTACGCCTGAGCATCTCCTGCCTACCAACAGCGACCCACATGTCTTCCGTGTGATGCTATGACCTATGCTGATTTGCCTGCAGGATGTGCAGTTTAATTTAAGAAACACCCTATTGCTTCAGTTTATGAATTACTAAATGCATATTGCACAAATAGGCTACCTAGCAGATTCTCATAAATTCTCTCTTATCACAACTGCTTGTTAAAAAAAAAAAGGGGGGGGGATTGCTGTGTATTGTGTGTCTGTCTGCTTTCCGCACTTTCTGACAGGTCTGCTAAAGGAAGTGGTTTGCAAGTGGAGGACTAAGCTACAGTTTGCTTGTGCAGATTCTCAAAGGTTCAAACATCACCAGATTTGTTAGTTCAGTTTAAGGGAAAAACAGACACATTGTTCTGACGAGGTCGCAGCCTGAGGGCATTGAAATAAAAGTACAAAACTGAGGTAACATTACTCACAACACTAAAACCCATGTTAAATGACAGTCTTGTCCTCCTTCTTATATATAAATTTCCTAGGTTTAGCTTTGATTGCCTAACCTAGATCCTCCAATCAAATTATTGATCACACACTAATGTAACCCCATTTGTAACGCACAGATGCTAGAAAATGGTCTTTCCACTCGTTTAAAGAAGCATTTTGAAAAGGTTTTCATGGACAAGTACAGTGACTTGACGCACTATTTAACGTTAACTCAAATTAACGGTATAAAACCCTAATACAAAGCCACTGACGTTTTAGCTCACATGCGAAACGTTACATGTTGTATCCCCCAGATTCAAACGAGTTAGCACTAGCGTTAACGTGAGCTGTATAAACCAACATACGACATTAAGTTAGCTTCTTAATCAAATTTAAAATCAAATCTTTAAAAAACTGTTGGGTGTAACTCTAACATGAGATGTAACGTGGCTTATTAACACACAATACACAAGAGCGTTTAGTGAAATACTTTGCTAAAGGACTAGAAACAGGAAATGACACTCCCGGTAGGTTATACAGCCTGCTAGCGAAGCCGAGGCTAACAGCTAGCAACCAAACCAAGTGGAGGCGGACGACTGGGCGTTGGTTGCTCAGACAACTGCAGAAGCTAAAAAGCGGTAAAGCCACATTCCATAACTAGCAGGTTAAATGTTAGCACAAATCATTAAAACTGCAGTTTACAGCACGGTTTTCTTAATAAGTCGTGATAGTAACTGACTGTAGCAGTCTCACCCATAGTGTTGACGCTCCCTGCCGTCTCAAAAACCGATCATTCACAAGCCGACATTCCCCTTCTCACTACTTTTGCTTGAGCTACGCACAATAGGACACGCTACTCCTTCTGTACTCAACGAACGTACGCCAAAAGACAAACGTAAATGCTACATGAATCGCAAAAGGAGGAAATACTCGTGTCTCGCGATATTGTATAATTCTTTTGAGTCCCAACGTGTTCTCGCGGTAACCAATCGTTTTAGAAAGTAGACCGTTTTTTATGTGGAGCAATTTTATTCTGAGACATGCTATAATCACTACACCTCCTACCAAGGCACCGTGATCATATCAAATCATAACGGCATTTAATCTGTTCATATAGTACTATTTAAATAAGTCAGTGTACGAAAGAGATCGCATATTATTTGCTGATCCGTTCCCGTTTTACATTATTAGTGGCCATTCATTTACAATATGTATGTATGCATTTTGTGCACTAGGTTATTCAACGACATTCCAGTGTTAAAATGACGGAATGCGAATAGCGTCCGTTTGTATCCATGACAACCAGGACGCTCTAATACGGCTTCATTGTATTGGTTAAAATGCAGTAAGATTTTAGCATAATCCTTTTTTATTTGCTAATGTGTGACTGTCTGTTGTGTCAAAAATAAAAATATGTCATCTGTTTCCCCGGCTAAGGATATTTTATAAGGAAATATACGTGTTTAGCAATCCAAATCAAGTGTCTATACTGCTATCTTGCTATGCTGGAGGAAGGGTAAGACACTTATTTTGTCTTTTAAAACTGCAAGTTCGCCTGACAAACCAGACCAGCTCAGTTCAGCTGCTTCTTTTAGCCAAACAAAACTAGTTAACGCCAGAGCTAATCCTCTTACCACAAACACAAGCTAATGTTGTAGTATGTTTTTGTGTAGGATTTTTACCTGTTTGGCTAAGGCTAGCTCAATTGTCCATATATGCCAGTTCGGTAGTGAAAAGTAACTAAGTATATTTACTCAAATACCTCAAAACTGTACATAAGTACAGTTTTGAGGTATTTGAAATTTACTTTAATGTTTCTGCTATTTTATACCATTATTGTACAACAATTAATTGGGAAATATTGTACTTTTTATTCAACTACCTACATTTGACTGTTAAATTAAATAAACTTATTAATGCATTGTATTTGCATATGCATTTATTAAGTGGTTCAGTAATTATAATATGGTGCTAACGTGTACATTTACTAAGGTAAACTTTGAATGCAAGACTTTAACTTGTAATGGAGTTTTTTACACTGTGATATTGCTGCTTTTACATAAACAAAAGGTCTGACTACTTCTTCCTTCACTACTAAAGCTGAACCAACGGTTACTCATGGAAACAAAGGGGAAGGTTGAAAATGTCCAACTCTGTTAAAAACATTAGACAAGAAGGAGAGAAATTGCCCCTGAAGTCCATAGGAATTCAGAACAAGTAAGCTGAGCAAACTCTTGTTTTCAGCCTGTATACATTTAGATTGATTTCTGTGGCATGGCAGAAACAAATCATCTGTTAAGCCTTTTTTTCTAGGGCATCTCATGAGCTCAGAAGGCTTCAGTCTCTGCTTGCCAAAAGCAGCTCCAGACAAGAGGTGAACAACAATGTGATGCCACTCTGAGACAGCGCGTCAAGATATTTTGATAACAATACAAACCAGCTCACATTTCTTCAGGTCTTTGTGTATATATTGTAGTATGATACTCCCTGTGTTGCAGGTGGTAGCACCGAGTCACAGTAAAGCACGCAGCAGTGGAGCCAGCAAATTACAAGGCCTGCATCATCAAAAAGACACCAACAGACACAGGAGTGAGAGCGACATCAACAGTGAAGCCTCTGAACTGGAAAAATTCAGGTTTGATCTCACAGTGAATTTATAATAATTTATAAAATAATTTTTTATCCAAAAACTAAACTTTTGTCAATTTTAGCCATCTGTCAAAACCTATGATCTTAGGACTACAAAACACACAGCAAAGGAGCCACATTTTCCAAACTAGTAACATGTTCTGCATCAAATTTCTCCAAACATCTAACCCAGCTAAATCTAAGTTTATTATAATCCTTTAATGGATCCAAAACTTTAATATTTACCACATTAGCTACAGTATTTCCTGCACTAACTGACTTTGTTAAGTTACACATTTGCATATGTAAGTAGGACTGGGTTTTGTCTGAAGACTTAAAATATTAGAGCCATTACATTTAGGTACAAATACAAAACAATGCTTTCTTTATAACTTGCTTTGAGAGATATAAATGTTATAATGTTTTTTCATTTTACAAAAGAAGCCAAATCTCTTTGCACTTATTAGCTTAAGTTTAAATATTATATGTACTGTCTATGGTCTAAACACACAAATATGTATAAGAACCTCATTAAGCAAAACAGTTCTCAAATGACAATTTTTTTAACATTTAAATCAGGAACTATATGATGCCATGTTTTTATAGGTGGTAGTTTTCAATAGTCTGTGCTAAAGATACATTTTGGTCTGATATCAAGCCACATACCTGACCAGAATATGGTTGTGTAGAAAATATAGACAAGAATCAGGAAAATGTATGATGACATGTACTGTACAAGCTGGAGGCCTATGAGATATATTATGGGGTGCTTTGCAATTGGAAGTTGTTACAAGGAACCTGTGACAGACATTAATGAATTAATGTTGTTTGTGATACTGCTAGCCGAACAGTCAAAGAATCAAATATAGTCTGCATGTTTGTGGACGTAATTATAGAAATGTTCATTTCCCAGCATAACGTACAGAAACCAAAGATGTTTCAGCAGCCACCCACTGCATAAACTCTTCTCTGACATTCTTGCCTCTCTGGTCAAGAACCGACTCTGCAGGTAAAACATCTATGAAATATTATGGCATTTCTTCATTTGTCTGGCAGAAGGATGAAGTTACTGACAACATTTACTCTTTTTTGTAGTGAATGGATTGACAGTGCACCTCCTGAGTCAGTTCTTAGGATTCTCATCTGCCTACGATTATTGATCAGAGATACACAGCATCAGGTACAACGTGCAAAATCCTCTCTGTTCTTTTGCTGCATACTGGTTTAATATTTATTACTATACATTGTATAACTACTTCCACATTTATTATATTAGTCCAACAAAAGAATCAGAATAGTAACTGCCTATTTTAACTCCTTCCTCGTTTAGAAAATTTTCCATCAGCTCCATGGCATCAATTTACTTGCCAGGGTAAAGTTTCACCAGTATTTTTTCACATGTCTAAACATGCTGCATTCTGCAATTTATCCATATATACTGTATTTCGTGTCAGTCTCCTAATCCCGGCTTTATTTCTCTTTTAGCATATGGAGTCTGTCACTGCCATGTATATATCTTGTGGTGAACAAGCATTTGCTGTGCAGAAGCTGGTCACAATGACCTGTGAGTGATCTGGAGGCAATATGACAGTACAACACTGAGAATTGATTGATTGATTTGACTGATTGATTTTATTCTTTCAAACATGCAGAACAGAACAAATGAACAAATGACAACAACACACATAATTACACATATCCAACCAATGCTAATCCAAAATCAGTTTGCTTACACATATTACATGTTTGAATGGAGTAGGAAGAAGTCAGACTTATCCAGTCCTACCCCATGACATCATATTATACAAAAATTAATGCTTCATTGGCTGCAAGCAGTATCTCTACATTAATAAACAGAGTATTTCCTTAATGCCTTCTCGAATAATCTTATTCTTGCATATATCTTGTATAACACATACATTTATATTTATGTTTAAACTCCTCAATTCTAGTACTATTTTTCATGTCCACAGTTAAATTATTCCATAATTTGACCCCACTTATAGAAATACAGAATCTTTTTTTGGTTGTACGTATAGCATGAACCCTTAAATTTAAGTGACCCCTTAAGTTATATCCCCCTTCCCTTTCACCAAATAACTTTAGGATTCCACCAGGTAATAAGTCGTTCCTGGCTTTATACATAAACACAGCAGTCTTATATTCCACTAAATCAAAGAATTTTAACAATTTGGACTGTAAAATGAAAGAATGTGAGCTTTGTTTACGTCCTTATCATCCCTGGCTTTGTTGATTGCTTGCAGACATCTTTCAGAAGCTGTCTGCTGTTGAAAATCAAAGGGTCTGGGTCATTGAGAGTGGTGGTCACAGGGTAAGTGATATGTTGTGATACAGTTATGTGTGATTATGTACTGTTTGTTTTCAGATCATCTGTCTGAGATAAACTGTGTGCCATAACAGGAAGTCATTCCTCTTGGTGTACTAGAGTAATGCATTTCTGGTCATGATGTATATTTCAGCACTTTTAAAAACATGTATCTATTATTTCCAATTTAAAATACAGATTATATTTATTGGTCAGTTATTTAATGTATTTTCTTCCTTTTTAATGTTTTTTTTTTTGTCTGTTTCATTTTTCTCTCCATCAAGCACTTTCCTTAGAGCAGAACATCTCCACCAGAAATGCCTCTAGTTCTCTTAAACTTGCTTTTAGTGACCCTATGATCTTTCCTCTAGCATCAATATCAGGCATAAAAATAACATTCATACTGCCTAGATGATGATGCACTCTGCACTCACTTCAACATTTATTGTACTTTGTGGGAAAAAATCTGCCTCTAATAAATGAAACCATTTTTAGACCCTGGTCAAGCTCCTCTCTACAACAGATAGCAGTGTGCTGCTGGGAGCCCTGCTGGCACTCACCACATTGGCTGAGAGGTAAGCAAATGCTTAATTTAATGCATTAAATACAATTTTGACTTTATCTGTTGCCAGACATCTTTTTCTGCAGCCCAGAATGCAAGGAGGAGATTGGCAAGCTACCGATCGTGGAGAACCTACTTGTAATACTGCAGGAATATGACCTGCTGTCAAAAAGGTTAGTAACCACTTCTTTGTTGATGCATTGTCAATTTGTCAAATAAAACATTTTGCCTGTGTTCCTTCATCATTAGCATTGATACAACAGAGCCATAAAAACACTGAAAGAACCAAGACTGGACTCATACTGTACAATGGCCATGAAAAAAAAATTGTTACAGAAAACAAACATCTAAAAATAAGTTCTTATAGGGTAATTTAAAAAAGAGTACAGGTTTAGGCTTTGGAAATTAGATCTAAAGGCTATAATGGATTTTAAACTCTATAGCATTGTTCCTGACATATTAGTTTAGTCTCAATAACCATCCCAAATATCAAGTAATATTTATATAACATACATAATGTAGGGGTTAATCCAGATGTTTTCTCCAGGATGAGCGCAGAGCTGCTGAGGCTCCTGTCCCCGGTGCAGCAGGTGAGGGACCAGGTGAGGGAGCTGGAGGGGCGGTCAGCACCTGAAGCTCCTGTGGAGCATCGTCTGGGTCCTGGTCCAGCTCTGTGAGGATCCCGACACCAGGACAGAGATCCGAAGCTGGGGTGGGGTGCAGCAGCTGCTCCGACTGCTCAACAGGTTTGTGATACTGAGCAAATAAAATGAGTTAATATTTGGATTTAAAATGACCATAATGTATTCATTTATCTGCTTGATGTTGACTCTCAGGTGTGAATGGCCTTTATAAACTAGCTTTCTTGCTTGTTCTCTGTTATGAAACAAAAACTGCCCATCTAGTCTGCAGTCTCTTCCAGATTTACCCCCTGCAGCTAATGATGGAGGTTGCTACTACAGCTGACTGTCTGCCGTCACAAAGCTTTGTTCTGAAGCCCATAAAGAACAGTGGTATTATTTACCATGGTGATCTTCTGCACCAGTGACAGGCAGTATGTCTCTGATCGGTCATCCATCGAGACGCTCTCCAGCGCCAATGCAGCCGGTCGCATCCAAAGAGAGCACATTAGAGAGGAGTTGAGTCCACAGGAGGAGGTGGACAGCACTACAGCCTTGCAGTCAGGTCACAGAATATATAAGTTATCATATAAAATGTTGATTTTTTTTTAAAGTTTCTTTAGAATTCAACCAGTAAAATATTGTTCTTGTAGTAATGTAAAATGCTGAAAAAGGGCAGTGAATGTTTACTTGTGCTTGCCACTGCCCAGTTAAGAAAACTCTCCCCCAAGTGGATTCCCATTGGTAACTGAACATGTCAACATACTTTTTCCTGAAGTGAGAATCCAGACCATTGAGTCTAGAAAATACAATTGAGCTGAGTATAATTATTACCAATAATATTTTCTTATTCAGTGCTGCTCTCCCTTCAAGTGTCTACAGAAGAATTTACATTTCAAAGGCATCAGTGTTATCAGTCTTTGTTCTCTCCGACGGTTTGGAAATGTCCATAGTGTTTGTTCAGAGTGTCTGAAACTGTACATTTTCATGTATGAGTTCTTAAATTGAGTCATCCCTTCTAATACGTTTTCCAGCCTGCTGTACAGCTCTGACTGAGCTTAGTCTGGATGACACATCTGCTCACCACATTGTACAGGTAAAGGAAAGTCCCTAATATCTGTGTATGTCAAATCACCATATGTAAAACACAGCCTTATTAATGTTGGCATTTTTAGGAAAATGGGGTCTACATGATAGCAAAGTTGATTTTACCACAAAATCCTGGAGCAAAGGTCACATCTTTACAGGTATATGGCTTTGTACTGTATTAACTCCCACTATGATGTATATAAAGGCATTTTATCTTCCAGAACATAACATATTTGCAAATCTGTTGGCATGTTGGCAGTGCTATGCATTTCGAACCCTCCGATTCCTCTTTAGTGTGGAAAGAAACCGACATCTGTTTAAGAGGTGATATTACATGATTAAACAGTTTATAAGACATGCTTATTTTAGAAAGAATAGAATATAACCTGAAGTTCATGTCATGCATAAATCATTTAACATTATCTACTGCTTCAAAACCTACTTTGAAAAGAAATCTTCTCCACTGCCGTTAAGTAATCTTTTATCCATTTCAGACTCTTTCTCACAGACCTCTTTGAGCTGTTTATTGATGTTGGCCATTATGTGCGGGACCTCACGGCCTATGAGGGGCTGCAAACTAAAGTTTCACACTACACTGTAAGGAAACAGCTTCTAAATGGATTCATCTGTTTATTCAGCTGGTTTGGGGTTATAAAATTAGAAGAAATATTGTTGGGTTTTGTTATAAATAAAACTAACAGTAATGCCTTATTTTACAGGTCTGCTATTTCCTAATAATTTCCTGAAAGTTTCCTGGAAAGACCCATGTAGTTTGGTATTAATTATAGAAAAACGGGGACAAAATTCTAAGACTTAGTTAGTCCACTGAGATATGTTGAGTTTACTATTGTCTTCCAGATGAATTGCCATGAAAGAAATGGCTCAATGTAAATCACAGATAATATTTTCAGTTTATTTGTTAAGTATTTGAAATAGTATTCTTCATTTATGCTAATTGGATGGTTTGTGGACCAATTGAACATTTTGATTGTGTAGTTTACCTTCTGTCCTCTGAAGAAAGCCTCAAGTTTGTGCTAGCTTAGCATTTAGAAATAACTGCAAGTGTACCTACTGATTATTACTCTCTAATTGTACCTTTAATTAGTACCAAATTATATGGCTCCTTCCAGGAAACCTCTTGGGAAGTTATATAGAAATAAAGTGAAATTTACAAACCTGTAAAATGAAGTGTTACCAAGCTAACTAACAAGGAGGATTTTTTTACCTTATAAAATGAGCGCTGTGTGTTTTTCTAATGCAGGAAGAGGAACTGGACAGTCTGAGAGAAAGCATTGAGGCTGTGGACCAGAACCGACCTCCACTTAAAGTCATCAATGGTTACTCCATACTGGATCATCTGGGCACCGGGGCCTTTGGAAGTGTCTACAAAGTACAATCAACATCTTCATGCAGGAGTGCATCAGGCAGTTAACTTCTAATATCATTGATTAAAATACATTTATGCAATGACAGGTCCAGAAGCAGAGTGGACAGAACCTCCTTGCTCTGAAAGAGGTGAACCTGCACAACCCAGCCTTCGGCAAAGACAAGAGGTCCAGAGACAGTAGCGTAGAGAAAATCATCTCTGAGCTCACGATCATCAAAGAACAGGCACAAATTTTCAATTCTAATCACTGAAAATCATATTAATAACATGTTATGTGAACAGATAAGCCCATACTGTGTATTGTCTTGTTTATTTGTTCTTCCTCTATAGATGACACACCCAAACATTGTTAAATATTACAAGACATTTTTAGAAGGTGAGGATGCTTACTTTTACTGGGCCTTCAAGCCCCAGCTGTTGTGAGAAAGATCACAACAAAACTTAAGTAAAGTAAAAACCCGCATTGTTCGTCATAGGCGACAAGCTGTACGTAGTGATGGAGCTGATCGAGGGAGTGCCGCTGGCTGAACATTTTAACTCTCTGAAGGAGAAGCAGCAGCAGTTCACTGAAGACAGAATTTGGAATATATTCATACAGGTGACAGCTGTTCAACACAGTCATTAGGAAATCAGTAGTGTGTGGTAGCATACTGGTGTCATATTTTGAGAAAGATCAATAGCATTTTATTTGGGTAGTTCAATCTTAAGACACAACTGTTGTGATAAAAAGTAGATGTTCAACAGAGTGTCACTTGTTGATATAGTTTATCTCAACTATTGTATGTAACCATAAATATTCATCCTAAGATTACATTTAAAACCATGTACTAATCCATAACCATCACATGTGTTGTGGGAATTACTGAAAGCTCAACAGGCCATTGACTGACACATTAATAGTAAGTTAAGTGTCAACTGAACAGTAATTTCCAATGTAAATACTTTCCACTGGCAAAGGAAAGACATTTTATCTGAGTGGAACCATCTCAGTTTCTCCAAAATCCTTTAAACAACTTAATTACTAATTGGTATAACTTTCATGCTCCATCAGATGTGTCTGGCATTGAGGTACCTGCACAAGGAGAAAAGAATAGTCCACCGTGACCTCTCACCAAACAACATCATGCTGGGCGAGAAAGACAAAGTTACAATTAGTGAGTGTGTCTTTACACTTTATCACACCTCACAAATTTATGTATGTCACATACTGTCTTGTCTTACAGTATTATAACCTGAGCCTTTCATTAAAGCTGACTTCGGCCTTGCTAAGCAGAAGCAGGACAACAGCAAGCTGACGTCAGTGGTCGGCACCATCCTTTACTCCTGGTAAGTTAATTATTTTTGAGCATCTAGCTGCTTTGGCTTTATGGCAAAGCAGTTTTATATACTCTTCATATATATAT